ATCTCTCTATATATATATATATATCTAGAGAGAGATTCTATATGTGTATACATATGTACTTAATTATTTCTATATGTATATATACATGTACTTATTTTCATAAGTTGAGAGAGAGAGAAAATTGCATCTAGAGAGACATTCTATGTGTTATCACATGCATATATCTAGAGATATAGACATATGCACTTATTTCTATGTGTTGAGAGAGAGAGAAAATATATTGTATCATTCTATGTGTATATATATACATGTACTTATTTTCATGTTTTTGGATCGAAAGTGTTTTTGATTCGATTCCAAAGCCTATACCTTATGTAATTCTTATGTTTATCCTTATGAAATATTATGTGTTATTATATTTAATTGGATTTAGTAATTCTATATGTGTTATCACATGTACTTATGTTATGTACCATAATAATTCTATCTATGTGTTATCTTGAAGATACAAATGGCTGCTCCGGATGATAACTTGAGTGATGACATAATGGCGGATATTATCAAAGCCGGCACCAATGTGGATGTAGATGACACGAGTCAGTACTTTGCTGATTATGAGGATATCCTGAATATGCCGGTGGTTGAAGATCAACAAATTGTCGCGCAAGAAAATACTGGCGAGGTATATTCGATTATCTATCATCTCTTATAGATGCGCTTCCCTGTTGATGACATTACCGAGCCTCTAACAAAATATGAGCTGCACATTCCAGATGGTAATGCATCAATCATGGTGGCTGTCGGGGTTGTATCTCCAATAGACCGAACGAAGACACCAAGAATCCATGGGTCGATTATTCAACTTTGGATATGCTAGCGTCTCGGTCGATAGAGTGCTCAAAGGTTACAAACAATGTTCCTCTTGACATTGAAGGCGGTGATGGGGAGAAGACACTAGGAGAAAGCAGAGAAGACATTTATTCAATGGCGCAAACGCTTCATCATCATTCTGGGCGCCACCGCTTCCCCTACCTCACCCTAGGTACGAATGAAAGTGAATGAAATATTATTTTCCATTAATTTTCTATTGGCTTCAAAAATAATTGACACACAAATTGTTTTTATAGCAGGGTCTCTCCCAGACCTAGCCTAATCATTCATTCCCCATCTCATCACAGCGTGTCCAGGGGGCGAGACGACTTCATCCCCACGGCGATCGCCAACTCCTACACCGCCCCATCGCCTCCACAACGATCTCCAACTCCTACACCGGCCCCACCGCCTCCTAACGATCTCCAACGTCTCCACGCCGGTCTCCACCAACACCGGCCTCATCGCCTCCACGCCGATCTCCAACACCGCCCCCACCCCTCCACAATGACGCACTACAAAGACGCGTCTAAGGTCCCAAGCGGCAAAGAAGACCCCAAGAAAAGAGTTATTTCTCAAGAAATACTTCTGAAAAAGACTGATGAGCAAATAGCGGTGAAGAAGACAAAAAGTAAAAGATTTTTTATAGATATCAAAAACAAGAGTCAAGCAAAGCTTAAGGAGAAGCCGTACTTTTACATACCACGAGATGTCTTTGAAAGGGGAAGGTCGATGCTCACAAGAAAAAGATGATTGAACCGTAAGCCTTCGCCACTATCGGACTATGACCGCTCCCTCGTGAAGTCACATGATGCGAGATAAGAAAAGGAAAAGAGCATCAGGGAAGGATGTCCCACAGCTCGGACAATGAAGTAACCAATGCAAAATCTTGTTGTTGCTAATGAATATGGTTCCAACATAGAAGTCTATCGACCGCATACAACGAGAAGTGTCGGTTCAAGCCCTTAATGCTTTTTTTAAAGATCTTTGGTTTAACCTTGGATCAATTGACGGCAAAGCTCCAATCCGAACCTCGGAAGTTGATACGAAAGACTTATAAATATGGCAAAGTCTGTACAACCCTGCGGCTCTGAATGAATTGGGTACGCAAATGTACTTGCTCAAAAAGTGGTACATGCAGGCGTGTGGCAGGGGTGAGCAGTGGATCTTTGTCAGATTTAGAGACCATCATTACTTCCGTGGCGATGACATCTTACATATTAGTTTCGAAGAATTGCATCAACTATTCCACTTGGACGCTCTGGACAAATCAATCATGAGCTCCTTTTGTTTGTAAGTGATTCTTACTTTTATTTAATAAACTCACTTCCATGCGTACGTGTATATAATTATCCTCACATGTAACTTATATTTATATATAGATTCCAGATGTCAGAGCTCCAAAGAATACAAGACACCAGTGTTGGCTTCATTGATCCTTATATCGTATTCAAAACCGATATTATTGTCAAGTGTTTAATTACTATATCGTACTTCAATTTACGTGTGAGATGATGAGAATAATCTTCTTCTCGTACAGTGGTGTTTGCGGCAGGAACCAGGTAATAACTTGTGTGGATACTACGTTTGTGAATTTATCACTGCGCACATAAGAAGAACTCCTGAAGATGTCCTCAGAGTACGTATATATCAATTTTTATTTATTTTTAAATGAATATATATACATATATGTGTATTAATACTTTTCCTTTTATTTCAAATGCAAGACTGAATAGTTGAAACGAAGGGTCATGCAAAAAGACCATCTGAAAGCAGTTCAAGAGTCAATAGCAGGATATCTTCTAGAAAAAGTGCTAAATCCCAACGGCAAGTTCTACTTTGATCTTAAGGAATAAATGATGTAAATTAAATGTTTATTGATATCGTTATTTTCGAGAACAAGATTATGAAAGTGTTGTATATATACATATATATATATATATAATATATATAGTTTCATACTTTATTCGAATATAATAATACTCAAGATGAGAATTAGATGTAATTATATGCATGCGTGTATTTATATTAGCAACGTAGAATACGTACATAAAAACATATTATATATTAAACAAATACGTGTAACTGAACTGAAAACAAATTAAACAAAAAAAAAGAAAAAGAAAAGGAACCTTTAGTCCCGGTTGGGGTTACCAACCGGGACTAAAGGGTGAACCATTAGTCCCGGTTGGTAACCCCAACCGGGACTAAAGGGTGCGCCAGGTTCGCTCGGCTGGAGGGCCTTTAGTCCCGGTTGGTGTTACCAACCGGGACTAAAGGTCCCTCTTTAATCCCGGCTCGATGACCCGGGACTGAAGGTTCCACCTTTAGTCCCGGGATCGTTGTCCCGGCGCGGTAACCGGGACTAAAGGCTGTTACCGCCCGGGACAACAGGTCCATTCTGTAGTAGTGATCGAACTTGAAGTTGCCGTGTATCGTGCGGCCTTTGATGAAGGCGTTTTAGTTGGGGGAGATGAGCTCTCGCAGTCGTGGGGCTAGCCGCATCGCCAAGAGCTTGGAGGCCAGCTTCCCGAAACTATGGATCATTGTGATTGGGCGGTAGTCCGCTGGCGACTCCGCGCCCGGTTTCTTTGGCAGCAGTACAACGAAGGCGTTGTTGAGCCTGAGCCTACCGAAGGCCCTGCTGTCGCCGAAGAATAGGGCATTGATGGCTGCCACCACGTCGTCCTTGATTGTTTCCCAGGTCGACTTGTAGAAGGCACCGGTGAAGCCGTCTGGCCCTGGCGCCCGATCAGAAGGCATTTCTCCACCTCTGCAACGGAGAATGGCAGGTCAAGTGCGGACAAGTCCGTCGAGTGGATGCCAAGCGCGCCGAAGTCCATCGTGTGCGCCACCGGAGCCGGCTGTCCGAAGACGCTGCTGAAGTGGTTGAAGATTGCCGTCTCCATCTCGTCGTGAGTGGAGTGCACTACGTCGCCATCCTTGAGCCGGATGACGGTGTTCCTGCGCTTCCGTCCTCTGTCCAGTAGGTGGAAGTATTTGGTATTTGTATCCCTATCGGCCAGGTATCGTATTCTGGACCTCTGTAGGGCTTTCCTCGTTGGAGCGACTCGCTAAATTTTAGGTGCCTGGATTTTTAGAAATCTTGGATCGACAGTCTACACGACAATTACAAGAACATCTCACAAAACACAATTTATAATTTATAATTTTCTTATGGCTAAACAATGAAAAAATTGTATGTTGGGAAGCGTTTTTAAATAGTACTCAATCCATACCAAATTATAAGATGTTTGACTTTTTGAACTCCAAGTTTGACCACTCGTCTTATTCAAAAAAGTTATCCAAAAATAGTTAAATTTATATCAATCTTGAAGAACTTTTACTAATAAAGAAAGTCACGACTAAAGAAGTGATATTTTGCATAAATTTTTAAATAAGACGAGCGGTCAAACTTGGTGTCAAAAAAGTCAAACGTCTTATAATTTGGGACGGAGGGAGTACATGACATAATGTATATCTAGGTGTATCATGCAATTTGCAATATACCGTAGGAATAACAACTCTGAAATGGCAATCCGATTCAAAGGCCTGCAATGCAAAGTGGTGACGGCCTGGGCTGAGGAAGCACACGACACAACTCCAAGGGCGCCAGTGGATGGTTGGATGCAGCTCAAGGGCTTTACAGCCTCTCCGTCCAACGGCCGCGATGCACCACAATCACAAAGCGTGCCGCCGCGGCCTCGGTGGGCCATCGATTCGCGCCGCGGCCGGCCTCGTGCAGCCGTGCTCCCGTCGCCGCAGCGTTTGATGTCAGCGAGGCTCCTGCCCCGCGTCACCCCGCTCCTCCCACGCCGCCCTAGACCGAGCCAGGGCATCGCCCCCGCCCTCGTGGCCTCGCTCTCGGGCGTGCTCGCCGCGCGCGCCACCGACCCGTCATGGCCCCGCTCCCTCGCGGCGCTCCTCCCTTCCCCGCTCCCTGAAGCGCGCCTCGCCGCCGCCGTCTCCGCGCTCGCAGGCCGCCACCGCCACCACCAAACCAAGCGCCCACGCCGCCGCCCATAGTTCCACCTCATATCCTGACACACTCCACGGCGCAGCACGCCCGGCTCTGGCTACCTCCCGTGGCTGCTGCTGCTGCTGCTCTGCTTCCCCGATCCGGAGAGTGACGCGGCGCCGTCCGTGCCTCTCGTCGCCGGGCCCGTAGCCGCGCCGCGGCGCCCGGTGGCATGTCGCGCAGCGTGAGTGCCGCCGCCGACCGGTGCTTGGAGCTGGAACGCGTCATCAGCACTCACGCCCGCTTGGGAAGCCTCAGCCTCGACGACGCGCTCAAGCTATTCGATGGATTGCTTACCCACGCCAGGTCCGCCTCGATTATTGCCTTCAACCACCTCCTCACCGTTGTGTCTCGTGCCTCCGGCCGGCGCTCCTCCACCACAGAGTCAGAGCTAGTCGTCTCCCTCTTCAACCGGATGATCTGTGAATGCTCCATCAAGGTGACTCCAAACCATTTCACCTACAGCATACTCATTGGCTGCTTCTGCCGCATGGGCCGCCTGGAGCATGGCTTCGCCACCTTTGGCCTCATCCTTAAGTCGGGCTGGAGGGTGAATGATGTAGTAATCTTCAATTCACTGCTCAAAGGTCTCTGTGACGCAAAGAGGGTGGGTGAGGCCATGGACATTTTGATCAAACGAATGCATGAGCTTGGCTGCACGCCAGATGTAGTATCATACAATACACTTCTCAAGGGTTTCTGCAATGAAAAGAGAACTGAGGAGGCGCTTGAGCTGCTCCACATGATGGCTGATGATCAAGTTAGGAGCTGCCCACCGGATGTGGTGTCCTACAGCACTTTCATTAATGGTTTCTTTACTGAGGATCAAGTGGACAAAGGGTACAACCTGTTTCTTGACATGATGGATCGGGGGGGGGGGATTCAACCGAATGCTGTGACATACAACACTGTAATTGATGGTCTCTGCAAAGCTCGATTGGTTGACAGGGCCAAGGTTGTCTTTCAGCAGATGATTGATAAAGGTGTTAAGCCAGACAATGGCACATATAACTGTCTAATCCATGGATACCTCTCTACTGGACAGTGGAAAGAAGTGATCCAAATGCTTGAAGAAATGTCCAAGCATGATCTTGAGCCAGATTGTTTTACTTATGCGTTGCTGCTGGACTACCTATGCAAAAATGGAAAATGCACAGAAGCCAGGAAAATTTTTGATTCTATGATTAGGAAGGACATAAAACCTAATGTAACTACCTATTGCATTATGCTTCATGGATATGCTACCAGAGGTGCTCTTTCTGAAATGCATAGTTTCCTAGATTTGATGGCAGCAAATGGCATTTCACCAAATAATTACATCTTTAACATAATGTTCTGGGCATATGCTAAAAAGGCAATGATAGATGAGGCAATGCATATATTTACCAAAATGAGGCAGCAAGGATTGAGTTCTGATGTAGTCAGCTATGGAGTACTAATAGATGCACTATGCAAGGTAGGCAGAGTAGACGACGCTGTGCTCAAATTCAATCAGATGATCAACGAAGGAGTGGCTCCTAACATCTTTGTTTTTACCTCCCTAGTTTATGGACTATGCACCGGTTTGGAATGTTGAATCAAGGAATCCATCCCAATGTCGTGTTCTTCAACACCATAATGTGTAACTTATGCACAAAAGGACAGGTTATGAAAGCCCAGAGGCTCAATGACTGGATGGAACGTGTGGGCGTGAGGCCTGATGTTATCTCATATAATACATTAATTGGTGGCCACTGCTTAGTTGGTAGAATTGATGAAGCAGCAAAGTCACTTGATGTTATGCTATCAGTTGGCTTGAAACTTGATGAATGGACTTATAATACCTTGCTTCATGGCTATTGTAAAGCTGGCAGGATAGATGATGCATATAGTGTTTTTCGAGAAATGTTGCGCAATGGCATTACTCCCGGAGTTGTGACTTACAGTACTATACTGCATGGATTGTTTAAAACCGGGAGATTTTCTGAAGCAAAGGAACTCTATGTCAATATGATCAACAGTGGAACAAAGTACGACATTTACACATACAACATAATTCTAAATGGGCTTTGCAAGAATAATTGTGTTGATGAAGCATTCAAAATGTTCCAGAGGGTGTGTTCCAAGGATCTTCAACCTGATATTATTACTTTCGCCATTATGATTGATGCATTGCTCAAGGGTGGTAGAAAGGAAGATGCCATGAATTTGTTCGCTACTATCTCTTCTTATGGATTGATTCCAAATGTTGTGACCTACTGCTTAATAGCAGAAAATCTTGTAGAAGAAGGGTCCCTAGAGGAGTTCGATGGTCTGTTTTCAGCAATGGAAAAGAGTGGTACCGCTCCGGACTCATGTATGTTAAATGCTCTAGTTAGGAGGTTTTTACATAGAGGCGACATAACCAGGGCTGGGGTTTACCTCTCCAAACTTGATAATCTGGCAGTAAAGGATGCTCACAACATAAGTCAAGTGGTGCTGTCAAACACATTGACATAGAGTATTATGTTGTGAAAGATAAAGTCCGGGATCAAGTCATAAGTCTTGAGCATATAAGAACAGAAAGGATGCTCGCGGATCCGCTTACAAAAGGCTTACCACCTAACATGTTCAGAGAACATGGTGTTCAGAGAACAAGTAGCTAGCGTGGGTTTAAAGGAAAGCCTAAAATTTCTAGACAAAAGAAGACCCAAAGATAAGTATCTATTTCAGAACAGAGTAGCTGTGTTGTAGCTGTTAAGTCTATCGGCAATGGATCGTGACGATGAGACATGCTCTATGCACTAATCTGTAATGGAATAAACAAAAGTAAATGATATGAAATTGAAAGATGGAATGAGATCAAGGGGGAGAATGTTAGTTGATCTCCACCAACGGCCTATTGGGCCCTTGCCTCTGCGTCCTGATCGAGGGCGTCCAACCCTAACTGGTTGGTGGGCCCCTGTCGCACAGCACATACAAATAGAGAAGGTGGGGATCAGGGCTCGTTTAACGAGGTTCGCCGTGAGCCGCCACACCCACCTACAGTAACCCTAAACCGATCTAAAGATCGTGCTGCCAGCGACGGGATGTGCCCCAACCACCGCCGTCGCACCTCTGCAGGGCCACCACCGGACCACGGCAGTACTACTATGGACTCCACCGAGTCGGAGCTGCCGCGGCAATGGCGTCTACCCGCTGTGGTGCATCTATGGAGAAGACAAGGACGAGGTCTTCCCTGGATCTACCGGTTACACACAGAGAGGTACACATCTATGATCCTAACAATGGTATCAGAGACAGGTCACAAGTGTGTAACCCTAACCCTAACTGGGTAAAAGCAAAGAAAAGAGTGACCGGGGTGGCGGACATCACTGTCTACCGGTCATCACCGCCACCGTGCGTGGGGAAAGAAGCCGCACCGTTCGACGGCGCACGGCAAAAGTAAAGAACCGAACAGATCCAGTTCGGCTCTAAGAAAAGAAGAAGAGTGGGTTCGGATTTGGACGAACCCTAAGACCTAACCCTAATTTTAACCCCAATCCCAAATTGGGTTGATCCCAAAAGAAAAAAGGGGAAGGGGGAAGAAGGGGAAAGAATCCGGGTTCAACCGAACCCTAACCCTAACTCGCATGGAGAAAGGGAAAAGGGTAAATGTAACAACCCAAAAATCCACACACCAAAAATCACAACTACAAAATTCTTTCTTCAAAACCCCATGTGATGATGAGTGACATTGTAGGAGCCAACCCTAAGTGTTGCATTAGAAGTAACCCAACTAGACAATTTCATGAGCATGGCATAAAGTAGTTATTACCCTAAGGGTGATTTGGATTTTCATTTGTTTTATGTAATGTCTAACAAAACCTTTAAGGAAATATACCATAAAGTAGTTATTACTCAAACCAAAGAATAAATGTATAAAGAGAAAACTATTTCCATTTTTGTATAACAAAACTACACTTATTTTTGTTATACAAAATAGCTAAATAAATTCCTAATATATATATGAAAGAATGTTGTGGGCCTCATATCTAATACTACAATGACTATGGTACACCAATTTTGAATTCAAATTTCAAACCAAATAGGAATTCAAACAAAGGAGAAGAAAAATAAAACAGAAAAAGGAAAAAGGGGGAAAGAAGGCCTGCTGGTGGCTCGGCACTGCTTTCGGCTCATTGCTGCTCAGTGTGACCAGGCTGACTTATGTGTGCAGCAACAGTAAAGCCCAACTCGTCGTGCGGCTAGCCTAGCAAGCAGCTCGGCGCGCTGCTCACGCCCACACGCCTCCCCGCTTCACTTGCAGCCGCTGCCACCCGGGCCCCACGCGTCAGCCACTCCCAGCCACATGATCGTCTTCCTCCCCACGCCGATTCCTTCTTCGACCAAGCCTCAACCAGGGTGGTAGGTGTGGGCCAGGGGTCACGCTAGGAGCATGACCCTGTCTCCCCCCTTGCGCCGCACCTACGCAACCACATGCGGGCCGTTGGATGCGATGCACGCGTTTCCACCGCTCGATCACCGTCCGCCATGGGAGCTTCGGAGCTCGGCTATAAAAGCCTCGGCCCCGGGAGCCCTAGCGCTTTCCCATCGCCCCGTCGCCACTTTGTGGCCATCCACTGCACACCCAAGGCAAGAGGGGATGGAGGAAGAAGTAAGGAGGAGGAAGCAGGAAGGAGAAGGGAGCCGCTGTGGGGGGGAAAAGCTCGCCGGAGCTGGAGCCGGAGCGGGCGGCGCTGCACTACACTGCACTGCTTCCGGAGCTACACGGCCGCGACCCGCCACTGCACCGCCATCCCATCTCCCACGACACCGACGGTGAGCCCCGGTCTTTCCCCTGCTCCGGCCATGGCGCTCCACACCGAGAGCGTGTAGGCCAAGGCCGTCTCCGGCCTCTGGGTACACACGCACTCACGCGCACATCCACGACCACGCCGAGACCGCCCCACCGGCGCCCCGTAGTGCTCCTGCGTGCCTTGCCGTCGCCACCATGCCGCCGTGGACACCGTGGAGCCCCTACCGGCCACATGGGGGACCCGAAGCCCCGCCTTGAGCCCTGGACGCCCTCGTCGTGCTCCCACGGACCGACAGAAGCCCTTATCCGCCCAGCCGAGCCACCAGGGAGCCTACATGCGCGACCTCACCACCAGCAAGCACCGCCGAGCCGCCGATCACCGTGGCCAAAGCCCTAGGAAGCTCTGGTCGCCACTTTGACCCCACCGTCGCAGTCGCCATGGCGTGGGGGAGCTTTTCCCCTCCCCAATTGGACACCAGCGCCGCTGTGGGAGCTCGCCGGTGAGCTCACCACCGGCGGGAGCACACCGGGGAAGGAAATAGGGGAAAATCCCCTCGCCGGCCACACACACATGCACCCGGCGCACCTGGACCACAGGGAGAGAGGAAAAGAGTGGACGCGGTTCACCGGAAGGAGAAGCGGTCCACCGTAGACCAGCGCACGCGTCCACCATGGACCGCGAGCCATAGACCACAGCCCAGTGGAGGCCCAAGGTCGTGACGTGGCTGCGCCACAGCATGCCACGTGGCGGGCCAAGCCCGGCCAAAATCCAGCCCTGTCTAGGCCCAACCGGCCCAGTTTGGACCCGGTCCGTGTTGACCGTTGACCGGTCAACGTTGACGGTTGACCTGGCCCCACATGTCAGCGACACAGAGGCTCGGGACCCACATGTCAGTGAGTGATGTCATGCTGACGTCATGACAATGTCACGCGGGTCCCACCTGTCAGTAACATCACAGCCGAGGTGACGTCATGCTGACGTCTGTAGCCCTGGCCCCACACGTCAGTGACCCTGACCGGTTGACCGTTGACTCACCCGTTGACTTGACGTTGACTTTGACCAGACCCACATGTCAGCGACCCAAGAGCCCCTGGACCCACCTGTCGGAACTGATGACGTTGATGACGTCATGCTGACGTCAGCCGGACCCCACCTGTCAGCTCGGAACCGAGATGATGACGTCATGTTGACGTCAGCATGCCACGTGGACCAGTCGCAGCGTGACACGTGTCAGCCCAGGATTAATTCGGCCTTTTTCCATTTTTAGAAATGATTTAAACTTCGAAAATTCATAACTAATTCATATGACCTCAGAAAAATACGAAACCAGGACCAAAATTCATCTAAAATCAAGCTCTACGCAATGAACCCATGTTTGAGTTTATTTGGCTCTTTTGAATTTTCATTGCTTTTTTGTGCTATTCTATAGACGTCGCTAACGCGACTATAATGTGATCGTTTGCAGACTCGGAGGAGAACCGGACGGACGAGAATCGTGAGTACCGTGAGGAGTACGGAGACGACTACACTGAAGGTGCCACATCCCACCCAATCTCGTAGCACCTATTACGCATGGCTAAAATAGAAATACTAGTGCTTACTTTATTGTCATGATCACACTATGGTAGGACTTGCATGGTAGTATGCTTCCTTGATGGCCTTTACCTTGACGCAACCTTACCCCTGCTCACCCTGCTGTTAGGATAGTCACATGATTGCTACTATATTTCATTGCTTATTACTTCTACTACGCTTATACTACATTAATGCGTGGTGGAAAACTGGTGTTATCTGGACTATAGTGAGAGTGCTGCGTGTGTGACTTGGGTGCGTGGAGGGTAAGGGTTGTGTCGACCAAGTTGGAGTATACAATGAGCCTGGGGCAAGTCTTGCCGTGGGGTGCTAACTGGGCACCCCTGGAATGGATACCTGTGGTGGGTGAATGGTATATGAGGTGGCCCTGGGTGTGAACCTGTGATGGGAGGAGCCCAGGGTGGAGGTGCTGTGGTGGCACGGTAAATGAAAACCCTAAAGAAGACATTCTGACTTGGTCATCCCTAAGGACTTACTAGTACTCAGATTCACCGGGAAGCCTTACGTACCACTTGCCCTATATGGTGCGGGACGGCCGAACTACTGGGTAGGATATTGCCACTACTGCTAGGTTGACAGCGGACAGTGTGAGGGAGGTATGGGGCGCGGAGGATCCCCCACACCCTTCCGAGACTTCATGGAGACCTTGTGGACCCAGGTCATGACTCACAGTTTCAGCCACCCCAGACTAGACTTGGGGTGTACCAGGGCTGAATGGTAGAGTGGCATTATCCTAGGCTAGCAAGCGGCCGGAATTAGCCTAGTTGACGATGGTTAGCGAGGAAGGCGGATCTTGTGGTTATGTAAAACCTCTGCAGAGTGTATGGTTGATCGATCGATACATATGCCGACTTGTTGGCTATGAACCTTTCCTAGGTTTCATTTAAACTAGATAGTGAGATGAGTCCTTCTCTTCTCCCCCCGGGAGTGAGTGTCGGTCGTAGCCAGGGGCTACGGGCCTTGAGACAGTGCCGAGAGGGAGTTG